TGTACGTCACTAATTAAGCATTAATTATTGATTGATATCCACTTCCTGTGTGTGACATATCGATTGAATGACTTGTAGACAATATCAGAGGTGATAGATTGGAAAAGAAACCGATCATTTATTGAAGTGTGTATGGTCACCATAAAGGAAATGGAAATTTATATATTTACCAACATGATGGAGAATCTCTGGTCATTAAAATGTATCTAAACATTTTAATGTTTAGATACATTTTATTGTGTATTGTATATGTGTATCGTGGATTGTTTTGTTACTGTATCGTCTCATGTTCTGTCCCCACTATAATGTACAGCACTGAGCAAACCTTCTGGCACTATATAAAAATACTGTATTATAATAATAATAAACCCTCCAAAAACACAATAATATATTGCTGCTTTCCAGTCCTTAGATGTGACCTATGTATCAGATGTTCCTTCCTTTTCACCTGGTGATCCTACCAGTAACACACTTCCTGTCCTGGGGTGACAACGCTCTCTGCACTGCATCTACAGAGGAGGAGTGTTTTCACCCTAGGCTGCTCTCCTGACGTGAACTACAAGTACCTCATTACAAAGGGGAAGGGGTTGTAGTTCACAGAAAAAATAAGTAGAAAAGCTGAAACCATTGTAGGAGAGTTGAGTCCGGAGTGCAGGAAGATTCTGGCGGGATCAGCGGGCATTCTTCTGGATTTGCAGAAAATCATATTAGCTTAAAATAAGAAAACGAATAGTCTCATCACATCTCAGGACAGGAAAGCTGTGATATACGACGTGATTGTTGTTGCGTTTAGGTATACATACAAAAGGAAAAGGAAGTTCACAGGTGACCCAGGATCTGATGTCCCCCCACACACCCAGTCTTATCAGCAATAAGATGGCAGTCCTCATACATCCCCAGTGACAGATCTGCCTGTCTATGGCCCCCTCTGATATGGGATATACAATCTTCATGATCCTAGGTGTTTTCTCTACAATGTACAGATATAGCCTGGCTCTACTAAGATGTGTAGTCCACAATCGTTCCATAGAGGGGTCTCAGTGATCGCTCCATAGAGGGGTCCCCGTCCTGCGCTCCGTCCATACATGGGTCCCCATGCTGCAATCCGTCCACTGAGGGATCCCCGTCCAATCCGTCCACTGAGGGATCCCCGTCCTGCAATCCGTCCACTGAGGGATCCCCGTCCTGCAATCCGTCCACTGAGGGATCCCCGTCCTGCAATCCGTCCACTGAGGGATCCCCGTCCTGCAATCCGTCCATAGAGGGTCCCTGTCCTGCAAACAGTCAATAGAGGGTCCCTGTCCTGCAAACAGTCAATAGAGGGTCCCTGTCCTGCGATCCATCCATAGAGGGGTCCCTGTCCTGCAATCAGTTTATAGAGGGTCCCTGTCCTGCAATCAGTCCATAGAGGGGTCCCTGTTCTGTGATCCATCTATAGAGGGGTCCCTGTCCTGCATCCATATAGTGGTATCCGTCCTGAGAACCGTCCATAGAGGGGTCCCTGTCCTAAGATCCGTCCATAGAGTGGTCCCTGTCCTAAGATCCGTCCATAGAGGGGTCCCTGTCCTAAGATCCGTCCATAGAGGGGTCCCTCTCCTAAGATCCGTCCATAGAGGGGTCCCTCTCCTAAGATCCGTCCATAGAGGGGTCCCTGTCCTAAGATCCGTCCATAGAGGGGTCCCTGTCCTAAGATCCGTCCATAGAGGGGTCCCTGTCCTAAGATCCGTCCATAGAGGGGTCCCTGTCCTAAGATCCGTCCATAGAGGGGTCCCTGTCCTAAGATCCGTCCATAGAGGGGTCCCTGTCCTAAGATCCGTCCATAGAGGGGTCCCCTGTCCTAAGATCCGTCCATAGAGGGGTCCCTGTCCTAAGAACCGTCCATAGAGGGGTCCCTGTCCTAAGAACCGTCCATAGAGGGGTCCCTGTCCTAAGAACCGTCCATAGAGGGGTCCCTGTCCTAAGAACCGTCCATAGAGGGGTCCCTGTCCTAAGATCCGTCCATAGAGGGGTCCCTGTCCTAAGATCCGTCCATAGAGGGGTCCCTGTCCTAAGATCCGTCCATAGAGGGGTCCCTGTCCTAAGATCCGTCCATAGAGGGGTCCCCGTTCTTCCTCCCTGTAACAGGTGTATGACTCGCACGGCTTCCTCCACCAGTCTGCCCCGACCCCTATCACTATCCGGGGATAAATGGGAAGAACTCCCCCCAGTACGATGGTCGGTGCCCCCTGTGTACACCCCGCTCCATGAGATCGGCTGATGCACAGACGAGACACGGGCGGGCGATCTCTGTCTGTCTTTCTGGGCTCCTACCTGTTCCTGCGATGCAGATCGGATGTGTGGAGGCGGCACTCCGGCTACAGATCCCCCGGGCGGACGGAGACATGAGAGCCCAGCGATGCCCTCCGCCCGGATCACACCGGCTATAGAGGAGCACAGCTCAGCATCGGAGAGAGCCGGGGGGGCGGGGAGAGAGCCGGGAGGGGCGGGGACAGAGCCGGGAGGGGCGGGGACAGGGGGCGGGGCTCTACGAGGCTGCACCTTTATCGGGCTCAGCATGTACCCCGCAGTGCCGCCCCCTACCGATCACACAGCGTGTACCCCGCGCAGTGCCGCCCCCTACCGATCACACAGCGTGTACCCCGAAGTGCCGCCCCCTACCGATCACAGAGCGTGTACCCCGCAGTGCCGCCCTACCGATCTCACAGCGTGTACTCCGCAGTGCAGCCCCCTACCGATCAAACAGCGTGTACCCCGCAGTGCCGCCCCCTACCGATCACACAGCATGTACCCCCCTACCGCAAACAGTGCCGCCCCCTACCGATCACACAGCATGTACCCCGCAGTGCCGCCCCCTACCAATTATAGAGCGTGTACCCCGCAGTGCCGCCCCCTACCGATCACAGAGCATGTACCCCGCAGTGCAGCCCCCTACCGATCACACAGCGTGTACCCCGCATTGCAGCCCCCTACCGATCACACAGCGTGTACCCGCAGTGCCGCCCCCCTACCGATCACAGAGCATGTACCCCGCAGTGCCGCCCCCTACCAATTATAGAGCGTGTACCCCGCAGTGCCGCCCCCTACCGATCACAGAGCGTGTACCCCGCAGTGCAGCCCCCTACCGATCACACAGCGTGTAACCGCAGTGCCGCCCCCCTACTGATCACAGAGCATGTACCCCGCAGTGCAGTCCCCTACCGATCACACAGCATGTACCCCGCAGTGTTGCCCCCTCCTGATCACACACCATGTACACCGCAGTGCCGCCCCTTCCTGATCACACAGCATATACCCTGCAGTGCTGCCCCCTCCCAATCACACACCATGTACCCCGCAGTGCCGCCCCTTCCTGATCACACAGCATGTACCCCGCAGTGCTGCGCCCCACCAATCACACTGCATGTACCCCGCATGCCCTACAGTGCTGCCCTCTCCCGATCACACACCATGTACCCCGCACACCCCACAGTACTGCCCCCTCCCGATCACACAGTATGTACCCCGCATGCCCTACAGTGCTGCCCTCTCCCGATCACACACCATGTACCCCGCACACCCCACAGTACTGCCCCCTCCCGATCACACAGCATGTACCCTGCATGCCCCACAGTGCTGCCCCCTCCCAATCACACAGCATGTACCCCGCACACCCCTCAGTGCTGCCCCCTCCCGATCACACAGCATGTACCCCGCACACCCCTCAGTGCTGCCCCCTCCCGATCACACAGCATGTACCCCACACAGCCCGCAGTGCCGCCCCCCCCCTCCCAATCACACAGCATGTACCCCGCAGTGCCGCGCCCCCACCAATCACACTGCATGTACCCCGCAGTGCCGCTTCCTCCCTATCACACAGCAGGTACCCCACAGGGCTGCCCCCTCCCGATCACACAGCATGTACCCCACACACCCCTCAGTGCTGTCCTCTGATTGGTCATAGGGAACGTAGCATTTTCCCCATCTGCTTGACAGTGTAGCCTCCAGCCAGGTGTCTGATTTGTATTCAAGCTGATGACTGACAGGTCTGTATGTTCCCAGACATCGTACAAAGGTGAATGTTTCCTATCCAGAGTGTTAGAAGACATCCTGTGTGTCTCATCTCCATTCCTCCTCCAGGATACCAATCATCTTCATAGCACTAACATCGAGCCTCCTGAACTTTATGTACATTCAAGTTTTACTAATGTTATCTCCCCCTCCACAAATTACTGAGCCGCCAGACAACTCTGGGCCCCTTGCGCTTATGGGCCCCGTTGCAGATGTATGGCCCGTTATGACTATAGTTATGTCCTTGCTTTCAGGCTCAGTACATTTAGGGTCCATTTCTATCATATCAGTCCATTGCACGGCATATAACACAAGTTATATCACATCTTAAGATGGCCTGTGTTCAGGGAGTCCATTTATTAGAACAGGCTGCCAACACGCCATAACCAACTAACCTATGATGAACTGCTGATCCTTATATGTGTGGCCAGCACACATGGGATAATCATGTCCAATTGCTATTGTGTTCTCTTGATAATCCAGCGTTGTAGGTGTGTCCACCATAGGTTTAAACACATATGGTCCCCAGTGCCACTATTCATAGGGGTGTGCTGACTGACATGAATGCCAGAGGGTGCTCCTGTCTATGGCCCTCGGGAGGGCACCCTTGTCTATGGCCCTCAGGAGGGCACCCTTGTCTATGGCCCTCAGGAGGGTGTTATTGTCTATGCCCCTCACAAGGGTGCTCCTGTCTATGCCCCTCACAAGGGTGCTCCTGTTTATGCCTCTCATGAGGGTGCTCCTGTCTATGGCCTTCAGGAGGTGCTCCTGTCTATGGCCCACAGGAGGGTGTTCTTGTCTATGCCTCTCACGAGGGTGCTCCTGTCTATGCCTCTCATGAGGGTGCTCCTGTCTATCCCTCTCACGAGGGTGCTTCTGTCTACGCCCCTCACGAGGGTGCTCCTGTCTATGCCTCTCACGAGGTGCTCCTGTCTATGCCCCTCAAGAGGGTGCTCCTGTTTATGGCCGTCATGAGGGTGCTCCTGTTTATGACCCTCATGAGGGTTCTCCTGTCTATGCCTCTCATGAGGGTGCTCCTGTCTATGGCCCTCATGAGGGTGCTCCTGTCTATGCTTTCATGAGGGTGTTTCTGTCTATTGCCCTCATGAGGGTGCTTCTGTCTCAGGGGCGGACTGACCATTTGGAAACTCGGGCACTGCCCGAGGGCCCGGGGTCAGTAAGGTGCCCCATGAGATGCCCCTGGTACCTTTTTCATAGGCTTTTTTGAGTTTGGGCAAGGACACAGGGGCCCCATGATCCCCTATTGCCCGGGGGCCCCATGAGTTGTCAGTCCGCCCCTGTTCTGTCTATTGCCCTCATGAGGGTTCTCCTGTCTATGCTCTTCATGAGGGTGCTCCCATCTATGCCCCTCATGAGGTTGCTCCTGTCTATGGCCCTCATGAGGGTGCAACTGTCTATGTCCCTCAGGAGGTTGCTTCTGTCTATTGCCCTCATGAGGGTTCTCCTGTCTATGCCCCTCATGAGGGTGCTCCTGTCTATGCCCCTCATGAAGGTGCTCCTGTCTATGGCCCTCATCAGGGTACTCCTGTCTATGCCCCTCATCAGGGTACTCCTGTCTATGCCTCTCATGAGAGTGCTCCTGTCTATGCCTCTCATGAGAGTGCTCCTGTCTATGGCCCTCATGAGGGTGCTCCTGTCTATGGCCCTCATGAGGGTGCTCCTGCCTATGCCCTCATGAGGGTGCTTCTGTCTATTGCCCTCATGAGGGTGCTTCTGTCTATTGCCCTCATGAGGGTTCTCCTGTCTATGGTCCTCATGCAGGTGCTCCTGTCTATGGCCCTCATGAAGGTGCTTCTGTCTATGTCCCTCAGGAGGGTGCTCCTGTCTATGGCCCACATGACAGTACTCCGTCTATGGCCCTCATGAGACTGCTCCTGTTTATGGCCCTCATGAAAGTGCTCCGTCTGTGGCCCTCATGAGACTGCTCCTGTTTATGGCCCTCCTGAAAGTGCTCCGTCTATGGCCCTCATGAGACTGCTCCTGTTTATGGCCCTCATGAGGTTGCTCCTGTCTATCGCCCTCATGAGACTGCTCCTGTTTATGGCCCTCATGAAAGTGCTCCGTCTATGGCCCTCATGAGGTTGCTCCTGTCTTTGCCCCTCAGGACTCAGGAGGATGTCCTTCAACATACAATGACAATGATGATCCAATGAGTTGTTGATCTCAGGTCTATATGCTGTGCCAGACCTCCCCAGCGTACAGATCTTGGTGGGGGAATAACAATTGTAGAAAATTATTAAAAATGGCCTCATCCAAAACACATTGAGCAATATATGGTAAATCAATCTGGACTCAGTAGAAAAGTTGTCTAATTAATAAACTGCTGCATGTCCAACTGCTGTTTTCATGGTGAACAAATCCATTTGAAGAGGTTTCCAATTTCCCCATCCAATGGAAACCCCCTTACGGTCATGATGATAATGATCAGTGATGGCTCATGAAAATCAACTGTTCTCCTGGGCTCTATAAACAGCTTTAAGACTGCCTAAGCTGCTTCAACATATCACCAGCTACCCTTCCTGTCCCAACAGATAACCAGACAATCACAATGTTCACCCAAGGAAAGTTTAAAGACTTCTTTTGTCATTGCTTCCTATATAATAGGGGAGTTCTCTGCAGAAGTGATTACTCGTGATCCAGTATTTAATGGAAAATGTATTTGTGTATAGTCTACAACATCTAAATTGTGACATTTGCAAGATTCTAATGGCTGTGTATATGGGGCATCTCTATTTATTGGGTTTCTATAAATCTAAAGCTCTCCATACTTGCTACAATCTAACCATACTATCAGCTAAAACTATGGAACATGAGGACTCACAAACCTATTCATTTAATCTGTATCCAGTCAAACAGGCCTTTGCACTACATAATCATTGGTAGATCAAAGGCTAGTTTTAGATGTGCTGCAACATTGCTGTGCCTCCGAAAAGTGATCCACATTCAGATCACTTTTTCGGCAGCATTTGACAGGTGGCGAAGAGGTGATATAAGACTCCCCCCCCACCCGTGTTAACTCCAAATATGGCATATCAGAAGGTTGCGAGGTGGTTGTAATCCTTCCACATTCACCTGAATAGGTTGTGTTTGGTGACGGTACTGCCCGCCAAACATGACTGGGTGATAATGTTTTGCCATGAGCGCAAAGTAAAGAATCACATGTGAACACCCCTGTCCACTGCCTTTGCAGCTTAAATACTAAGTTCACCTTTTCCAAAAATGTAGTGAAGGGGCCCGAGGTAGATATTAAAAACTTGTGTAGATTTTGTAAAATGATTGTAGCACCCTGTTTTAAACAGGGGCTATTGCCTATATATAATTTTTGGCTGGGTGGTAGTTACCCCAGACTGATTGTATAGTTTTTCAGTTGGTCTTTCCCTAAGCTCAGTTGGGTTGTGATTCCTTACTGCTGCCAGTAGGTGTCACTGGTACCACTGGCCATAGGATGAGATTTCATAACAAGGTTGAGTTATGAATATTCATATTTCCTTCAGCCAACCCTGTAGGTGGTTCAAAGTCACTGATGCATTCTGGGAGAGGATATAAATATTTGGGGCAGGCCTGGGGATCTCTCTCTTCCCCAAGGCTGAGACCCAGGGAGGTGCTGCTGAATTGAGCTATGCTATTAGGCCCCATGGCCTGTGCATGGCCTGACGTGCTGAATGTTGGAGATAGGCCTGAAGCTGTTCTGCCTGGTGATGGGGGAAGCTATGCCAAGGAGGAGACCCATAGGAGGACCCTTGTTGTCGCAAAGGTCTGCTGGCTCACTTGCAGGACACGCTGAGGAAACAGAGCAAAGTGTATGAACCAGCTAGGATGCTACTACAATGTCACCGGGTCAGCATAAAGGTTCTGATACAGTGAAGCTGGATATGTATCTAGATCTGAAGAGTGTAAGTGGTCTGCTTGGTATTGGGGACCCCTAACCTCCTAGACTGTTCTGCAAAAAGTATTTAAAAATAAGGCAAAAGTTACTGGCACCAGATGTTCTTTCCAGTGCCCCAATTTAGCCATGGACTCAGCCCTGTGGTGAAATCCTGGCCCACCCCCTTCCGCTGGAGGTGCCACCATGCCTCCAGGGGGTCAAGGTGGTGCTGCATGATCATTAATTTTATTGTTTTACCTGTAGACCATTGAGGTCCCCTCAGAAGCCAGGCTAATGAACTCCTAGTTAGCAACCCCCAAGTTATTCATTTTTGCTAGGATGCGAAAACCACTGGCAACAGGTGAAGGCATGGGGGTTGCTAACTAGTTTTTTTTACCAGCTCCTGAGGGGACCAAATGGCCTATAGATAAAATAATAAAATAATTGATCATGCAGCATGACCCCCCCAACCTCCTGGAAGCATGGTGGCACCTTTCTAATATTTACTGGGGCCCCCCTTGACTGCATACGCTGTTTTCTGGAAAATGTGAACTTAGCCTTAGTGTGGGTGGTAAAAATGCAGCTCAACCACGTTTTTATTATACCCCATACCAACTGCAAGTCTAAAAGAGCCTCCAATGAGATTGAACATTCAGATTGTAGTGTGACATCATTATATCATAGATGAGCAGATGGGTACCAAGAAAACAAAAAAGTTCTGCTCCCAAAATCGTAATGTACTTTTGATCTGTGCAAGCTTTGCTGCCAAAAGGGATCATCTAGTGAAATGGGTGGACATAAACACAACCAAGGTGTCAGAAACTGGCCTCCAAATTAGGTGATCTCACATTGTAAGGAAATTGAAGTGAATGTGATCATTATTTGTATTTAGTGATTTAATTAGATCCACATTTAAAAACAATACCATGCTCTTTCATTAGCCAAGAGTTCTCAACTCACTCACTCAATGAAAGTTGGCAGTGAATGGAAAACGGAGTGACGGGATTAAAGAGCACCTCCTCCTCCATCCCTCATATGTTATTACTGGGTACAGATGTCATAGGGTGCTGCCAGGCATTTCTTTCATTCTCCAGGATCATCACTAATGGGACTGTTGGTGTCATACAGACTGCATTTTAATAGATCATTAGAGAAGATTAAGCCAGAGACAGTTAAACACCCCACAGCCAGAGCTAGCTTTGCTCCCCCATTGCAGTTATTATGCTCTTCTACATTGGACGAGCTTCTACGTGTAACAATTACAAACATGATTTTAGCATGTTATGCTGTCATGATGTAACTTGCATTTGTTAAGTGCTTCCTGTCCTATAATTTCAGTTTATTATGCTAGGCACACGATGGTATGAGTGTATCATAAGATACCTCCAAAAGTCTCAAAATGTAAAGTGCATCTAGCCAAAGCATTTTTTTTTGGTTTTAGATGGAGTGGGGAATGCACACAGCCTCTGCCAGCTTAAAATAAAAAATACATACAACTTACAAAGCCATCCACAACTCTGCCCAAAGCTACATCACCAATCTTCTCTCAAAATATCAACCAAACTGTTCTGTTCTCTCCTCTCAGAACCTCCTGCTCTCTAACTTCCTGTCACGTTCTCTCATCCAGGACTTCTCCAGAGCTTCTCCCATCCTGTGCAAACTGCTGGTGCTATATAAATCCTGTACAATATTAAGAACAATAATAAGAACATAAAAAGCTCAACTCCATCACTGCCCTTTCCTTGTCCTTGGTCTTCTCCCCTCCATTATTCCCCCACCCTTGCACTTTATTTAAAAAAATGGATTAGCAGTGAGAGAATAAGGAGGCTGTCTTTGCTGTCCTCTTCTTCCCCAAAAATGGCTAGTTGGGCTAGCTGTCCAGATGTCATGCAGAGCCATTGGTACTTTCTGAGTTGCTGACTTGGAACCAGGGACAGACTGACAACTCATGGGGCCCCCGGGCAATAGGGGATCATGGGGCCCCTGTGTCCTTGCCCAAACTCAAAAAAAAGCCTATGAAAAAGGTACCAGGGGCATCTCATGGGGCCCCCCACTGACCCCGGGCCCTCGGGCAGTGCCCGAGTTTCCAAATGGTCAGTCTGCCCCTGGTTGGAACAGTATACAGTTCTCCTTCACTCCATTCTTCTAATCTGCATGCTTGTTCCAGGGTAGTGACTGAGAAAGTAGGAAAAAGTAGTGAAACCGGAGGCAGCCAGGTAACCAGCATTTTTCAGAAGGGGGCAGCAATGGCAACCTCTGTTTTTCTCACTGTCTGGTTTTTATCTGTACAAAGTTTACAGCTTCATCTGGTTTACACACCCTGTCAATGAGGGCCGGAAATGGAGTAAAATAATAGTAAGATATAGTAACCAATCTGCCAGCTGTGGCCATAAACTA